AACGATAATTAGAGATGTATACCAGCAGGCAAGGAACATAGCATAGAGTAAACATATTGTATTGCAAATTTCAAATGGGCAATTCTGAATAAATAAAGTGAGTGCTCCAAGCATGAATGGGTTATCTTTTCACAGACTGTAAACAAGTTAATCAGCTAATTTTATTCTGCCCCGTAGCTCATCCAAATTATGAAAAAAAATGTTTTCAAAAAAATTCCAACACATTACTTTTCAAACCAATCCTGTTACCAAGCAACGCAAATGAGTTTTCTCGCTTCCAAAAGGAGCACTGAAAATATATGAGATGTACTAAGTAGTCATCAGAAATGCAACTGGCCTCTGTTTTCATCCCAGTTTCATTTTATTTACAGACTAAAGATTTTCTGAACATAATTTTTACACTATGTTTTAGTTACAGGATTGAAAAGAGAACAGAACTATGTTTGGTTTCATCTTTTTCTTTGCCAGCTGCTAAGTCTGAAAGTTGGCCCCATGTGAACTGAAAAGGTCAGGAGTTTTAGTGCTTTCATCAAGCAGATGAAATAATAGGGAATTACACAAACAAGTGTTATATTTCAAACCTAAACAATTTCAATCTTAATTTAGGATCTGGTATTCTATAGTTCTTAAAAACTGCAGGAAGATTGCTCAAGATTGAAATGAAGAATTTGCCAAAGTTCTGTACAATCTGACATTTTAAGACAAGAATCATATTGCTAAAGCCAGGATTTTAATGTCAGTAAAGAATCAGGAAAGCAATAGCTTTCTGGAATTCTTCACCAAATAAAATGGAATTATTTGTTAAATAACTATTTAATCCCTCTTGCACCTATTTTTATTGTGCATGCACTATTGTGAAATTGTTGGTAACCATTAAGCTGCTGGTAGGTCTACGGAAGCTCTTCAACCCCAGACCAACCGCTTCTGTGAATTTCCAGTCTGCAGACTGCAATCCTGAACTAAACATTAATATTACAGGAATAAAGTGTCTCAAACAAAGAGAAAATGTTATTACTGTAATATTAACCCAGAACTACTAAAACAAATATAAAAAATTAAAAACTTTAGCTACACTGATCAATTTTCCTTTCAGTCCCTTTTTAAATTTATTTTTTGCGTTTAATTACATAGAATGATGTGGAATAAAACTTGGCTTTTTTTTATCGATTTGGTTCAATTAGTCTGTGCCATTATTTTACTCCACACTTGTACTTTTTCTATAGGTTCTTTCATCTTTTCTAACCTAACTACTGTGGATTGAATCTCTGATGACCTACACCATGGGTTTGGATTCAAAGTTAAGGCAAAGAAGGTTTTTGGGTTGATAGAATTGAATCAGTGCATGGTTACCACAATGTGTTCATTACAGTGGCAGAACATGAAGTCAGATGACCTCACATTCTTCTATGTATGTCCTGTTGAACGTCACCATACAATAGTAATGATGGACCTAGTGGATACAACACCTTAGTGAGCAAAGATCAGGTCACCCAGTATTGCTCCAATATATTTATTTCCAGTGGGCTGAAAAGCAGAGTTGACCAGGAAAGAATCAACGACCCAATTCCTTGAACAGTAAACAGGCAAAATTTAAGTGCAGCAAAACAAGTAAGGAATGAAATTGAAGGGAAAAAAGCCGCAGGTAAACAAATGGGTTCATGTTATTTAGATTCAATAGCTGTTTTCATTATTGTCATTGCCTGAAGATTCATCTTTCTATTTGGCATCCCTCCCAGTGCTTCATGTTCCCACTAATGTGATATGATCCAAAGCAACCCGTTCTGCAGCTGGATTCATTTGGGGGGAAATTAACACAATAACTCTAATTAAGACATCTGAAATTGACGCTCCTACTGGCACCCAACAATTAATGAATGAATTAACCAACAGCAAAATTTAGCTGAAATAATTGTATATGTTAGATTCCAATCCATCGACACAGAAGCATGTTGCATATAGTGCCTGTAACCTGTCAGCAAGTTTAATTAGGTTTGTCTTACAACAACTGACAGAAGTCCAAAGGCCCATAGAAATTCACCAATGACAGAATAACACAAGTGAAATCTTTTGCAGGGCTAAAGAATTATACACTCCAAAGCAGACAAGAAGAAAACAAGCAGAATTGATGAGAGACTGATATCATACTACAGTATCTGTTTATTTGTTCAGGTGGACATTAAATATCTCATTGCACTCTTCGAAAAGAGAAGTGAATTTCTATCAGTGTCCTGGAAAACAATCCCCCAGATAACATTGGCCATTCGCTTCAAGGCTGTTTGTGGGAGGTTATTGTGTGCAATTTGGCTGCTGTGTTCGCCTATAAAATATGCAGTTACTACACTTTACAGAAAATCCTATAATAAGCTTTGAAATGCCTCCCAATGTAAAAGGCACAATTTCAAATGCAGGAATTATTATCATCATTATAGTTCATGTAGTTCAAATAACATATATAACCAAATATATTTAATAATAAAATCAGTGGAGAAAATGGTCACTTCATGATGTTTGCAGCATTGCACTTATTTGATGGCATTAACTAATGATCTGATTTGAGTCATTCAGACATTTTCTACGTGATGGATGATGTCTTTACAAGATATTCAGATGATACTTGCAGTCTTTCATACAAATTCATTATAATATTGAATGTGTATGAAGCACGACAAATATCACTCCATTATATTGCCCTCAGAGATTTCAGACAAGTGGTATAACCTTTTCGAAAATTGTCGCTAGTGAATGGAGTTAAGCAAAAAAAAGCTCTACAAAAATGAGTTGCCCCCACCATTGACCCAACAGAACTTTTTAAGACAGAGGTTTCTGCCTGTATCAGCAACTCAGCCCACTTGGAAAATGAATGACAATGCCTCTTTAACAGTTAAGTGGCATGTACAATGAACTCAGATTCTAGCCTGTGAATTTGTCCTAAATCATCACTTAAGCTATCAAGGAATGTCATGCCTTTTAGAAAAAAACACTGGGGGAAATGGAAACAGGACATTAATCTATCTGTAGATTTTAATTACACATGTATTAGACATTCAAATGTTCAACTGAACTTTCCCATCAGAATATATTGTTTACTCTCACTTTGAACATCGATTGTTAGGCAATACCTAGTGTATATTTGCCCCATTGGGTTTACACAGAAACTTCAACAACTACAATTACATTTATGAATGTCCCAAGGTATTGGACAGTCAAGGGTTTTCACTCCAGTTGGGGATTGGTATTAAGAGAGGTGCAGGGTAGAAGGAGATTATACAATTTGATAGCTTTCAGCAGTGTTATTTATTCTGTAAACATGTAACGTAAAATATTTGCCGCCCCTAAATATTTTATTATTTGTAATGTCTCCTCTCTAAGGACATCAATGACCGATTTTACCATCACTTGTATATTTACCAACATCTCAGTAAAAGTCCTGTGAAGCTCTTTGATATGTCTCAACCATGTAATAAGGTGCTATATCAAATGCAAGATTATTATTATATTATTATTGTGGAGTGAATGCATTTTAGCTCAACGACAACAAACCCGACGACAAGAGGTTAAAAAGGAAAAATCACAGTCCAAGTGACAGTGTTCAGGTCGATAAATTTACTGACAATCAGAGAATTAGTGCCACATGATTGTCCTGTATTTGTGACTGAACCTCACTCTCTAATAATTTTTCTTTGTTTATCCACAACAAGAAATAGTTACCACATGTTATCCTAATGGTACACTTCAGCTGTTAACACTTCAGAAAAACATTATTGTTGACATCTTAATGCTGGCGAAGAAAGCACTGAAATCATAATGCTGTCAAAGAACAGTTCTATGAAAGAAACAAATGGCTGCCTAAATGCATGTGTACATGCGCATGCATCTTTGTTATCAATAATTACTGGGAAAAGAAAGAAGCGTTCTGCTTTGTGTCTGATGATAATATCAAGCTCTCTTAGCCAACAAACGGCAAAACTGTTTTTCTGGCTGGCCTTTTTCTGAACGCTGTCAGTTTGAACTTTGCAATCTATATTTACGAACTGGAAGTCACTTCCAATTGGTGAATATTGTACTTTCAGCCCCGATGAGAAGCTTGACTGAATAATATACAAGAGTTTGTATACACGTGTTATATCACACTGTTGTTCTGCTTCACTGATGACACAGTAAGCTAATTTGTGGCTTTACTCTTAATGATATTAGAAAAGATATTAGTTGCTTTTTTTTCAATGTGCAAATCAATGAATGAAATTCCTGTTAAACAGTATATAAATCGCATAAATTTGAGGTATGATTTATTGCACTGATTTATTTTCTCTCCACCAACTTTCCTTCTCCAATATTCGATGGAACATGTATTATTTCTTCATTTTTTGTACAGTTCCAGAGACATCTGTTGTTCTGTTTCCTCACACCACAAGTAACCATCATATAGATATGGATTTTGACAGTGAGTGTCAGTAGGTTAATTGACCTTAGGGGACACCAGAGCCAACCCTGATCCTATAGCTCCCAACATTTCTATACACACCTTCTGGGTAGCATCAAGAATGTGAATCATTACTGATATTCCCTAACCCTGGGACTCAGAGGTCAATTGTAGTATCCAATTGTTGCTCTAGCTGAGATAAGCAAGCAATTGAATCTGTAACCTTCATCTTAATGTGGCCTAGTGTTTTACCTTGTAAGATGTGGAGGGTTAATCATACTGAAGTACTATCAAATAAATAATCATTGTCACTATGTTATTGATTTAAAGGAAAACTATCTTCATTCGCAAAGGAAGAACTCTATCATTTTACTCACGATGACATGCAACAATTGTGGTAACATTTCTCAGATACAATGTCAAATTTCAGTGTACTGTGCATCACTGCATCATATGTCCAACAAGTAAATAACATTTAACCGGACATTTTAAAATCAAGGTTGCAGCTTTAAATAACATCTATGCTTATTTTATTTCTATAAAAATAAAATAAAGTGGATTTTTCAACTGTACAACTTACCTAATTTCGGTAAAGAATAGCTGACATTAAAGTAACCTTCATAAAATTCCAGAAGTCGTTTTGTTATATTTAAAGCATAATCTCCAGAACCTCTTTCAATAGCATCAGATCTAGCATATAACCGCACCTTGGAAAAAGAAAATGAGTCAGTAAAATTATTTTGAACAGCCAGACTCCAAGAATGTTCAAATCTAAACCAATGTTAATATAGGTGAATTCATTCATCAGCTATTCATTCACCAGGTTGAATTATGCATATAAACATACTCCAGAGAAAAGCCGCAGAACTTCTTTTTTTACACAAAGTCCTTGCAATTGTACGCTATCTGGTTAAGTCTGGTGTGATTGTGACTCAGTACTTTCTAGCCAGTTTAAACAGTAGACTTTTTTGTCTATGAGATGAGTGCATTGATGAAAAGACAAAGATGTGAAATTGATCGAAAGTTTAAACATATAGCAATAATTTTCGATTGAACAGTGGAAATAACAATACATTTGACCTTAAACAATCTGCTTTGTACACAGTCAATACAACAATTGAGGGAGACAACTATTCACTCTTAAACAAAACCAGATGACATTATAACATTGGGCTTCAGTGATAATGACAGTGGTTATCCAAATTAAAATTGTCCATTGGTAATAACATTTCATACAAGAAATCCTCTACAATAAGGGATTTTTTTATTTGGATGTTTTGTCAGTAATACATTTTTCAGATTCATGGGTTAAAGTGTTGTCAAAAGCTGAATGCCATTAGAAAGGCTACATGTCAACTAAAGAAATATCATTCTGTTAATTTCCACATTATTGTCAAACTTTATACCAGAAGATGCTATAAGACAGTTTCATATGCTTGTCTTCTATAATCAGATCATTCATTCTGAACTCTGGGTCTTAGTTCTATTTTGCTACTAAAGATGAATAATCTTTGTTCTTTAGGAGCTGCGGTAGCTGGTATTAGATCACTACAACTAACATCATGAGCATGTATGTTAAGCTAAATTAGCCTCCTACGCACAATGGCAACTGTAACAAGAGCACAATGATACTACACTGCATCAGATACAAAAGTAACCATTAGAAACTGCAGAACTTGCAAAAAAAATCATCTCTGAAATGATCACTGACTCTAACAAGATGGTTTAAGACTATTGAAAACACGTTCGATTCTCTGACTCACAGTAAGACGGCTAGCGCAGCTCCAATAGTGCTTGAAAATCACTTGCCTGCCTGCTTCATTTACATACATGCCAACTGTTCATCAATCAGTCGGGAGGTTCACATTGGCATTTGAACAACATATATAAATCAGGGTGCAGTAGGTGTGCAAACCAGAGAAAATCAAGCTTCCTGAGCATCACCACAAATTCCAGTTTTGTCTCAGATTTGAATTGCTCCTTCTATCACCCACCATCATCAGAGGCGTCAAAAAAACACAGACTAGCAAAACCTCACCTCAAGCACCAGACAATATGATTTCCCTTTCTCTCAGCATCAGGAAAATAGTCCAGAGATAAAGTCAGAATAAACTTACTTTCATCTCCACACAACCAAAATTTTTCAGAATAAACAAAGGTTTTGAGCGAGCTTGACAAAACTCCCACAGATTATTTTTTCTTTAAATTATTTTTGTGTTTCTTAGCGATTTAAGGGAGAATCAGATTTTGTGAATGTAATACCTGACTCTTTTGGATGCATTGTTTCTGACTTTCCTGTCACTGTTAGTGATGCCTTTAGCACCAGTACTAATAAATGAGTCTGTACTCTTTCGTGCTAAAAAAATGTACTTAACTAAGTGATGTGACATTGAGTGACACCAAATCATTAGGTCCATGTAAGCTCAAAATCATCCAAGGTAAAAATACATGTGTAAAAGATGAGTAAAGTCAGTATTTCACAAACAGAATCACTGAAATGCTGTGTCTCAGGCTACAAGTCCAAAGGCCACTATTCTGACACTTGGGGGCCCAGGGGTAGGGATAGAGGGGGAATAGGGTGCGAGGGGGCTTGAGAGGTGAGGGGGTTCAATGTCAATCCTCATCAGATGTTGCACCACCAGAAATAGAAATTCCAACAATATAAAAATTATCACCAGGGATAATTATCACATCATCTGTCCTATTTTTTACCCTGTATATTGACAAGGCAGAACCAGGGAAATCTCACCAAGTGACCCTCAGGGGCCATGTAAAAGATGATAAATTGTAAAAAAAAGCAAAATTGCTGTTCAAATCCATCGCCTTGTTTCAGAAAGTGATTCAAGCTTTCTTTCTTCCTTTCTTTTCCAGGGTGACCAAAAAGTCATGAAGCTACCCTATTATCTAAAGAAAACTATGAATATATTGACTTTCCAACGTACTATTGGTTTCATCTGGACTTATATGCCATAGAAAATGGATTGAGTATTACATGACATGCTCTTTTATGTTCACAGCTCCAGCACTTTCAAATCCCTCCTTCCTCCCCCACACACTGCAAAGTGATGAGAACCAGAAGTCCAAATCCCCTCCCCCCCCACCTCCAGAACAATTTCTTTTCAGCAGCAAGATTTGCACACTTACATCTAGTCTGCATGTAGCAATCCAACAAATTAGACCTGAAATCTCACCTACTCTCAGTGATTCTCTGTAAGACCATTTTGTCCTAAAATTTAAGATTGGGGTAAAAATCCTTCAATTCAGACTGAATTTCAATTCAGAATTCAATTTGACAATTTTTCACAATTCTGCACAATCTTAAATTTTAAGACAAAATGATCTCACAGGCTAAGAGTAGGTGAAATTTCAGGCGTAAAGTACAAAGGAATTCATAGAGAATCTAGGTTAAGTATTGAGTTATTTTGCAACTGGCTGTCTGATGAGTTAAAAGAACAAACCCTTTTGAGGTCAAAGTATCTTTATTGTTTTGTTGACACTTTGCACTGGAACATCGTGTCAGCAGTTTAGGGCTTCAAGACAATAGGAGAATAGTATGATGGGGTGGCCACAAGCTATAAACCTCTGTATTTATAAAGTTGGGCTGAGTAAAAATGAGAGGCTGAGACTGGGAAGTGAAAAGGCAATATTGGCATCATTCCAGGTTCAGACATCAAAAACATTTTTGTTCTGCCAGTCCCGGGGAATAGCCATAGTGCATAATAAGATATGAGTGTTTGTGTCATGGGAAATATCCAGAGGGTTGCCAGGGCACTATTCTTACATGCTCTATGGGAGCTGAAGTGGACAACACATACTTTGATGTTGGTATTAACTGTCAGTCAAATGTAAAAGATTGAGTGAATTTTGCAGCATTTCACAGCAATAATAATAATATCACAATTGCATTTTAGATCATAACTGAAAACCTTCTTCTTAGACCGTGCCTATTGTCACCTAAAGCTCTGCCACTATTAAGTGCTCTGAGATGCTACTGCTTAAATTACGCACCTCCAATTGGTGGAACCATCGCTCGAACGGAAAGGATGTTTGCCCGAGCTGCAAACAGGAAGACAGTGGCAATGCTCTCACCCATCAGGAACCTTGCATGCTAGTGATGGCTCAAACTCGTTATTATTGGTCAGATGTTGAACGCCCAACTTGTGACTATCCTCCTTGGGTGGAGGTAATTGGGGTCTCCTTGAAGCTGAACTGGCTCCAAGGTGACATGCCTCGTAATGGAATATCAGAATCGAGCTAGTCTTCTGCGGTGGTCTCGGTAATTCGGTTCCTGAGCCAAGCGGCTCCATAGTATTCCAGGGCACTGCTGATGACAGTACAGCCAGCCTGGCTCATCAGCTGGACCTGGAAGGGCAGATCAGTCACTCGGGGCAGGGAATCATCCCATTCAGTTCCTGTTAACCCTACAAGCCAAAGCCCTAACGGGGTAGGGTGGTCATAGCTGGACAAGCACTGAGAAGGCTTGCTAGACAGCAATATCAATCGCCAGCTATGCAGTTTTAGCTGGTTAGACTCCAGCAGTGCCCCCAACGCACACTTTGGAGTCCCCAAGCCTTGGCTCTTGCCAATCGGCGCCTAATATTTTTGGAATTAGGTAAGCAAAATGCATCCCTCCGCTGAGAGAGTGCGCATTCCATTCCAACCATCTCTCTCTGGGATTTCCATGTGTGGGTGAGGATTCATGGAAATCTCAGCTTTGTTTGGATACTCTTAAGCATGATGATGGGTTTCCGCATGTGTCAGACACCTGGTTGACAAAAAAAAAGTTTAGAAGAAAAACTCTGCCTTTGTAGGAGTGGTAGAAATGGCTGGATGAGCATGAAGGATGCAAGTTCATGTAGGCAAAGTAAAGATACAACTGCAAGCAGTATTGGCACACAACATCTTCTTATTCCAGGGTCCATATGCTATAAATATACAGCCTGACCTGTCTCAGCCATCAAATGAACATGTCAGCCTTGAGTGACTACTTTCTATGGTAAATTCTCTGCTTTGAGACGTGTTGATGAACTGCTAAGGTGCTATATCAAATGCAAGGACTATTATCTTGTATTTTGTGTGGAGCAACTGATTCCAAGTGGTAGCCAGCTTCCCATATCAAAAGACAACAATAGTATCCATTCTCAGCCTGCAAGCTATTTTTCAGCAGTTGTTAAAAAGAACCGGCTTTCAAATTAACGATCATTCTGCTCGCCTGGTTAACAAATGGATGTTCTATGAACCATAATTTCTATGAACTCTCTCAGCGGAGGGATGCAATGGACTCCACTTAAACGACATTTATCACTTACTAACACTTTAACCAAACTTACTATGTAAGAGACCTTAACTTGCACAGTTTGCTTCACCAAATTGAGGCTGCTCTAGAGAAACTAGGGCTTGAACAGGAGCCAAGCCCAGAAGCTAAACTCAGTCAAGGGCTAAAGGTCAGATTACAATCTGTTCTGTCTATCAGGCTAAATCTTGAACTAATGCCAGCAGGACATATGTGCAGTATTGGCCATTGCATTTTACATATTCAGAACCAGTATACAACCTTTTTCGTGAACAGAATACAAAAATCACTCCTGTAGCTCAGTGGTTAGGGCACTCGCTTCGCAAGCAAGAGACCTGGCTTCGATTCCCGGCAGGGCGAAACCTTGGGCAAGTTCCTTACTCCACACACCTGATAGTAATCCCTCAAGATAAAAAACAATAATAATTTGGTCACTCAATTGTTTGTGGGACACTGCTGTGTGCAATTGGCTACCGTGTTTCGCCCACAAAAATATACTGTCAATTCACTTCACAATATATTCTGTGAATCGCTTTGAGACGTCTAGAAAACATGAAAAGCGCTATATCAAATGCAAGGATTATTATGATTATTATTATTACAAAGCAAATCTTTCAGGAAAGGGGAAGAAAAATACCCAAAAGTACTTTTGGATACAATGGTTGACAACCCATTGCCATTTTAAAAAGAAGGGTGTAGTGTAACCTACTACATAGTTGCACAAGACATACCAATGTACTCAGTTGGACCTTTGGGGGATCCGTGAGCTGTTTTGCAGCAGGTTGCCTTGAGGCATTAGTCAATTGAGGGCAGGGAGGGTAGGAGTAGGAGGGTGGCCAAATGCATGGTTAAAGAGGAGGGTTCTTGAGACGTGCTTTGAAGGAAGAAGGAAAATGTAAATTCACCAAGGTGTAGCTCCTGCTATTTTATACCATGCAAGAGAATCCTGGCATGAGTGAGGAAAGAAATTGAGTCAATGTGAGTCACAAGATGGACACAGAATTTACTGAACCTATTTCAGCTTGCATCTAACCAAATTAATTCCAATTATCACTGAGGTTAGATATGACAGGGTTGGAAATATAATGCATTTTTCATAAGTTTCCAAGAAAATACCCACATTGTAATGCTTTCATGTACATTCTCTGCTGCAGTGTCGCTCCAACTATTTATATAAATGGGACCAGAAGACAAAAATACAAACCACAGCTAAAAATAAATTCACTCAAACCTAAATCATGTACTGTAGCTAACTCAGAGAAAAGTCAGCAGATTTCTATACGGCAATTCAATGTCTGAGCTGATGGTATTTGCATTAGAGTCTCTAATATTCCTGAATGCATAAGATGCATCTTTGTGTCCATCCATCAAAAGATGAAATTTTTAGTCCAGCATCAGTCTCTCAGGTACAATGCTGCTATTTCTTAAAACTTGTAAGTTTTATTGCTATTTTGGTTCTAGTAAATATGAAAATTCCAATTTTCTGTTTTTTTGTTCCCGAAATTCAGGATATAAACGCATTCTCATCAAAACCATGTTTGGCAAACATTTTTAGGGAGGGGGTAAATATGATATGCCATTTTGACATCACATACAAGTGATGTTTGAATTATTTGTGGAACAATTAATATCATCCAATCCAAAACAAACAAAAAACTCTTACCAAATATTAGGGGTTAAATCCCACCTGGGTCTAGATTGACTCAATTTTCTTAGCCTTTCAGAATGCGCAGGATTAATAAATCATTGAAATCAATCTGAAGTTGGCTTTTTCATAGTTTTTAAAAACAATTACAGAAAACAGGCTTCAAAATTAAGACTGTTTTAGAAGTTGCCAAATTCTGAATCATCTGAAATACTAAGAAAATAGAGTAAATCTAGACTCAGATAGAAGTTATAATAATAATAATTGATATATCTAGAACACTGAAATTACCTGAAATTCTGTATAGAATGTAGTACTTCCCATATTACCGCTTTGAATACATGCCATTAAAACATAACCAACAACTGGAAATGTACTTATATAAGTAGCCAGGTACCTGGAGTAGTTCAATGTTTGCCTCCCAACCAAATAGTCATTGGTTTCAGTCCCAGGGCTAACTATCACTCAGATCCAACTAACATATACAGACAAGTTCAGTCTGGTCTTGATCAGGGCAGTGCTCAGAAGCAGGGCATTCCATTAAGGATGAGCAAGGAGACTTGATCAGATTTCTCCTTCAGAGAGCAGCTCATTGCAAGCAGAGTTTGTGATGTTTCACACAATTCTGAGCAACTTACACTAATTTGTGAATATAAACTCAAATAATAGCACAAAACACATTTCTGAAATTAGTCCTTTTCCCACTGTAAAGTAACTCTTTGTTGACAGCCTCTTCTTAAAAAGTAGTTCAAAAAGACCACTGAAAGATTTGATCACAACTTATGTATGTCAACGTACTCAGCAGAGGATGGGGAGGAGCGACTGATAGCGCTGGTCTAGCTCTACTTGAGTCTAGCTCTACTTGAGTCATTTCCTGGCAACCATAGAACAACAGTGATGCCAAGAAGGAAGCATGTGGAATGAACACCTTACAGAAGAAGATAAATGGGAGCAAACAGATTGAATTAGAGGGACAAAGTAGGTTACACTGTACAAATCAAATATTGTACATCTTTCCTTCACTTGCTCTGATCAGTGCAAGCATCTCCCAGGAAGAATTATTCATATTCATTCTTTCAGGGTAAAACAATCCTTAAGTGAAAACATTTTGATGAAATAGCTCGATCTGCTACAATAAATTAACTGTATATTGCTCTAAGCTAGTAACTAATATTCTATTTTCTTAGTATTTCATAGGGTTCAGAATTTGGCTTCTAAAATACAGTCTTAATTTTGGAAGCTAGTAATGTCTTATCTAGGCAAGACAAGCTATGATCCTTAAAATACATAATATAAAAATGGTGATGAATTTTGCTGTATTTCTCAACTAAAAAATCTGTTACTCCATGGCACCACTTCATGAGAATGTCACTCCAACTCAATCTATTTTGGAGCAGGATCCCTTGAATTGGGGTAACTTGAACGACAAACTTTTCATTTATCGGGCTATGGCTCCGGGTGGATTTCTTTATGGAAAAATCTGTTAACAAATATCACCCAGTATTAACAATCATCTAAAATGAAAAGCAAGCACATCAAAAGCAATGAATTAAAAATTCTGGTGCCAGGTGACAAGCTGTGTGTTCACAGTACCTATCAACAACATAATTATCAATAACCAATGCTCATTTACCTTCAATGCAGCAATAAACAAAAATATTGTATGATATTTATGCATCATATGCTGAAACTATTGATTACAAACTATTTTGAATGGAAAGAAAGTGAACTTACAGTTATACCACTATTGGTAACAGTCTCCTTATAGGTGAAGTTGCAAACCGCCCAGGCCAAGTAGTAAGTGGACATTTGAGGTGTTTGCTCAAACCGCTCAGTCACCCATCCTTCTTCCTCAGAGATAGTGGCCTCCACAGGCATGTTGGACAATGCTAGGTACGTCACTTGGTGTTTGACGCTGATGCTAAATGTTGCTTTGTACACTGGCTCATCAAAACATGGGAAGGCCTTACGAGCATGTGTAGGAGAAAACTGAGTGACTGCGAGGTAGCTGGAAAAAAAGGGGGAAATGTTTGTTAGATGAATTGAAAAGTGCTCAAGAAATATACAATAAAAGCCACTTTGTGCTGACTAAATATTTCACTGAATACTTTTATTTTCAATTTATTTTAATCATGTGCATCAGCATTATTCATGAGCCAATATTCACTGTAATCTCAGGTAGAAGAACACCATAGACTTGCTATGTCACCGGATGTATAAAATGGATTTCACGGTTGAGAAAGAATGGAGCTCTCTTCATGGGGAAAAATTGCTATGTTACGCAGCACTGCATGGGTTAGAAAACCTTAGCAGGTGACTGTGCTGTTCAGTGAACAATTAAAATGTACATTTTTTTAAAATTAGGTCATGTTTGCCCAGGGACATTTTCTTCTGAAAGAAGATTTGTGTGTCTCCTTTTGTACTGGGAGCCTGAAGTAATCAACTTGACTCATCTGAGAGAAATTCAGAAATTGCTTTGCAAACGGCAAACTTGTACAAGTTACAGAGGTGGTTGATTTAACTATTTACCTTATTCAGTGTATAAATGGTTGGGGATATCAATGCAACTTTTATTAATCTAGAACCAGCATCTAAGATCGATCTATTTTTGCACAGTATAAAGAACACGTGGAAGAGTCTCTGCCTGGAAATAACTTGATTCCTTAAAAAGAGAGCTCAATCAGTATTCGTTGAAACGGAGGATGGGGTGTTATATTGCAATCATGTGGATTGCAACAGCTCTTTTTAACCATAGTACCATAAAAAAGTGGATCAGATGGAGAGGGAAAGCAATGATAAAACAGAACCTTTTCAGAAAATGGGCTTGATGGACTGAATGGCCTCTACGTGTTTCAGATTTACTGACATTTTATACTTAATGAGGAAATGTATCTAGCACTTTAGTGATTTGTACAATAGAACTTATTTTTCTCTCTTATGCCTCTGAACAGAACATTAGCAAATATTGGAAGCAAATAAGTGTACAAAGTGCTGATGGTTTCCAACTTCTTTAAATCAATATGACAAGCAGCAGCTAGCTTAAGAGAGGTTGTATATCTTTACCGTTACTTATCTCAAGAATGCTTCATATGATTACATTTCATAATCCCAAACCCTCAAAATATTTGTAACACCTCTGGAAACGTACAACCAGCAGAAACCGCAGAGTACTTCAGTGAATGTTTACATGTCAGAATTGATTAAAATGACAGAAGGACAAACTATTTCTTGCTTTGAATCTCTGGCATTAAACAAGGGTGGTTATTAAAGTGAGATTAATTCAGTTATTTGTGTAATGTGAAGTAATGTTATTCTTAAGCTCTGCAAATGTAGTTATAAAGAATTAAATACAGCATCCTGTAATAATTCAAAAGCATTTCATTCTTTTTCCTTCATTTCAAATCAGTGCTTGGAAAACCTGCAATGTAGCATAGTGTGGGGCTGAAATGGTATATTCGGTAATATTCTGGGAGTTGAGTTCAACAACAGCCCAAAATTGATGGACTAGAAGTCTCCTCTTCAAGATTACTTTATGTGAGGTCAGTGTAGGCTGCTCAATTTAGTTCACGTACACTCTTGTTTGCCTCCTCCACTTAGAAAGCTCAAGGGGCTACACATTCATCATCCCCTCCACCACACTATCAGCAGCCCATCTTTCAGCCATTCTATAATAATAATTATTATTGTAGAATTGTTGCTTAATAGCAACAATATTGACCACAATGGAAAGTCATTCAGTTGACAGTGACCTTTTTGTCAATTGGGATGGCAGCCACTATAGGCAGAGTTGTGATCATAGAGTATTGTAATGAACTGGAAATTAGGGAACAGAGAGATTAACAAGAGTTGCCCTTGAGGGCATCAAATGTACTTATTCGGGTTGTCCTAAGATGCTATCTGCTGCAGATGGGAATCAGTGGATCTGAGCAGATGGTAGAAAAGATTTAGTACCAACCAGAAAATTATAAGAACTACCAAGATTATTCAGCTACACAGTGCTAAGATTCAACAGATTGATGAGCATTAGCACCAACAATAGAATTATAGTGCTGGACTTCAGAAGAGTAAACACTGATTTTATGAGAAAGAAACTAGCAAAGATTAATTGGCCCACTGTATTGGAAAGGAAAGCACTGCAGAGATTTGGCAAGGTTAATGGGATAAATTAGATATGATTTGAGGAAAATGCACACTACTTTGAAACAACAGGGCATCTAGGATATAAGGAAAAAAGGGGATCAAAGATAAAATGTTTAAACCATATAAAGTATCTGGAAAAGGGTGTGCCTGACTATTAAAAGGCTGAGATATTCAGAAGTAGTAAAAGCAAACATAATGAATAAATTTTAATGGGTATTGAGATCACAAGATTGCAGTTCATTCTGGATAAAAGATTATACAGATTCAATGTTTACAACAGTGAGCTATCATTCCATTTAAATATGCATTGTCTCTAAAGTTGAGTGCTTTAAGGAATATTATCATTATTATAGTGCAGCAAAAAGAGCCAGTTTCTATAGAAACAAATCAGAGCAAATTTTAGCTTTCAACAGCTATACAAATAAATTGCATGTATTTTTTAAACACGATAAATACTGAACAGGTAATTACTTAAATAAGTGCACTATGAAATACTACTTTGATGTTTTTGATTGTTTTTATCTTCGTATTCATTCCAGTGGCTAACAACCACCTTGGCAACAACATTATTCTAAAAATAGTTCTTGAGAGCACAATGTAACAATGCTTCTCTTCTAATCAGGTTCAATCATTGGTAATAAAATTAACTGGGCAATGCACAACTAGTCTTCTTCCTGCAACAAAATAATAATAATAATAAAAACTGAAGAGCTGAACAATTCTTAGCAATACTGATACACTAGATATTCGATGGCTTCTTTAGGTAACATTTCTAATCATACATACTTATATGTGATGCATTATGAAGCTTACCCCCTAAGACCAGAAATAGATTTAAGAAATGTTTTGCCAGTGCGAAACCTTGATGTCCTGTTCGACCCACAAATATCCTTTAAGCCCTCCTTTTGAGCTCTCACTCACTTGGCTTTGCCTCATCTCTGCAACATTGCTCACCTCTGCCACTACCTCTCTACCTGAATTACTCAGACCCTTATTCACACCTTACTCATGTCCAGGCTGGACTATTCAAATGTCTTCCTTACTAAACTTCTCAACTCCACCCTACACAAGATGCAGACCAGCCAGACATTGCAGCTCATGTTCTCTCCCACACTAAGACCCGTGTCTGGTGTTTCCTGTCCTTGCTCTGCTCCACAGGCTCCCCATCTCCCAGCAAATTGAATTCAAGATCCTTTGCTTTGTGTTCAATTCCCTTCATGGTGTCATCCTACCCTACCTCTCTGATCTCCTGCTACCCCAGCACCCCAGCCATTTCTTCACTCAGCAAACTCCAGGCTGCTTCATGTTCCCTGCCTGACCTAATCTACCCCACAATCGATGGTTGGATTTCAGCCTTCTACCCCCACGCTTCATCTCAGAATCCCTCACTCCAAACCCTCCAATCCTATCTTTAAAGCCTACTTTAATATCTTTATTTTCAACCAATCTTTTGGTGGTCACTTCTTTCATTGTTTATAATGGAACAGCCCAAAAAACATTGGGGTGATGAAAAGGTAATAGGTATGAATAAACTGCACATGCTAGAGCAAAATGAATTGCTATAGACATGTTTGCAAACCAAAAGATGATCAGGTAGCAGGCGATCAGAGAGGTAGGGTAGGACGATACCATGAAGGGATTGGAACACAAAGCAAAGGATCTTTTTAAAGAAGATTTAATTGGTTTTCAGGACGTTCACTGAGACACCTAAATTAATGAATTTGTAGAGACATTAAACTACAATGAAAGACACACTGGTCTTTGATGTGATGTTTTTCAGTAGTATTTCACAAACATCAATACCATCTCATGGATTGCTTTTCTCAGGTCATTTGTGCAGCAGTGCTATGGGGCCACAACTGATTTTAAAGGATGGACCATAAACATAATATTTGCCATTGTGTCAAATGGGAATGTTGACTGTGTGAAATCCTAAACAATCCCATTGTATGCTTTGGTACTATTACATTGCAATAAAAGAAATAATGACTTAAAATTTTCTGCCAGTCGTCCAAATAGGATATTTGAAATGCTGATCTGCAGCAGTTTCCATCTTTACCTGTGTAGATTTAAAACAACAAATAACAACAAATTACATTTGTATAGCGCCTTTTACATCAGGAGGACATCCCAAGACACTGATGGTAAAAATTGTGTCTACAAACCATATACATTAGTCTTTTTGATCTACACAGTGTACACAGTGCACTATGTACAAATGTACAAAGAGTAGATAAATGTTTTATTTTAATGGATCAATGGCGTTTTGCAAACTGCCAAGAAAATAGGATTTGGGTTTAGACTCATTCTTCCATCTGTTTGTGCTCTTCTCTTTATTCAATTTGCCAGCAAAATGTTACAGTCAGTGGTTAGACGTTACCCTAGAAATGGGTAGAAATCTGTTGCCTTTATTTTCCTTCTGTTTAAAAAGCAAACCATCTGTCCACTGCATGATGCGGATAGGCCTGAGCGCACCCTGATCACAATCACACATAGAGAACCTGTACAGAATTCATCACGCACCATTTACACCATTAAATGCCTGCAGGCATTTGCAATGCAAACAGGCAAAGGGAACTGGGCTTGGTATGGCAGCAAGTACATTTAAAATTTGCACACACAAATGAGGAAATAATACAAATGCACAACCAGTTGTACGTGTTGTTAAATATAAGAACGTTTTGCCTGCAGACTTCAATCGTCTTTGAGTTTGGTTTCAAGCATCCTAATGCACTGTAAATCACATTGGTAATTCATTCTCATACACTCAGATACCTGGCCTTCAGACAACAGCCTTAGTGCACAGCAGAGTGGATACTATAAGCTTGTAACACTGTAAAGTACATGTCACCACGGCAATGAAACAAACATTAACTTTGGTTGATGGCTTGAACTGGTAAACAAATGGCCCAGCTGTTCCATAAATAACCAATTGCTTCAAAGATTCAGATAAGGGCATTATATCACACTGTCAGCCAATAGTTTTTCACCATGTCCCTTCACTACAAGCCACTTTTGGACACTGAGGCCATCAGGGTATTTAACACTCACTCATAACTGTAACCATAAATGAATTACACATCCTTATCAAATGAACATCAAATTCCTAGAGAGCCTTTCACCTAACACTTTACAATAAATTCAGAAAATGATATGTATGTTATTTTATCAAAAGCTAAAGACAGTTAATTGTTACACTTCTTGTTCTGGAGCAGGCACTTAAACACGTCCCTTGGGGGAAGTGAAGTGGAGCAACATAATCAGAATGTTGTACATCTATTCTGTTCCATTTAGCTCCTAAGTGCAATAATAATGAGGAACATGCAGGGAGATATGGGAGTAAATAACTCCTTTCTGCTTAAATTTGGTGGTTCATAAAGGTGGAAGGTATCAATGCTGGGGAACTGAATGCTTTCTGCAATTTGGCCACCCAATGTTGGCATTAAGCACTCCAGCTGATATTCAGTACCAACACATAGAAGAGTGTAAGTGTGTCCATTCTATGCCCCACAGTCAGACTGATTTATTTGTGCTAAACAAGTAGCGTCAAATTCTGGACAGTTTTCTTCAAAAGGACTGATGCCCACTAGAACCTGCAATGAGACAGTTCAGTCTTATTTTTCACACAGAAATTTTGCGGCTAATAGAGGAAGCAGATGTCCTTCTCCTAAGTCTGACTAGAATCAAACTCTGGTTCCAGAGAGGAAAGAATAGTGCCCAGAACCAATTTACTGAGAATCACAGCAAACAGTTCCACTTCTTTGGTTGCTTCTTTCAACAGTAATTCACATTCTGGATCCAAAGGGTTTAGAAGAGAGTGACACTTAACAGCAATAGCCCAACTAATCATCCCACCCCCTAATGCCAACCCTCAGAGCATGCCAGAAAATTCAACCACAGCAAGATTAAAATTCGAGAAATTATCAGGAAAGGAAAATAAAGAGAGAGTGAGTTAATGTTTAGCCCCGCAACCACTCCCCCACCCCACCCCCTCACCACCCAGCAAATAATTTTTATATTACAACATGTCCTTATATGCCAGAGGCATCTCTTCTCCTCTATCTGGTGAATTTGATAATCCAAATAAATAAAACATGTTCACAGTTTGGTCTAATTTGTGGTATTTCTTTGCGGGATCCTTGTTAGGCAAATGAGAACTCCTTCTGATAATCGGAAGTACATGACGCTGAATGGTGGGAACTGGGAGCACAGCTTCAACCTGATCTACGTCCAGAGCAAAGATTCTAATGAGATGCTTTATGACGGAATCTCATTAAAAACAATCTCACATTTGAACCCAATGGTTTAATGTACTTTGGTTGAGGTGTATTATTTGGGCAACTTTCACACTCACTATCAGGATACTGACCCATAAGATGTTTGATAGGTTTGAATACATTTCCACATCTCCAAGACTCAATAATGAGTTGGTCAACTATTGCTTTGTATTACTGTACCTGCCATGTTTCCTCAGAGCCAGCAGACCCTTCTTTGCTATTTTTCCCTATTTCAAAGGGGAAAACTCTAAACATACCGATCAATTTGTTCACTTGAATGGGTGAACAGCTCGGTACAATGACTGAGACTCGAACCTAAAACATTCTGCTTCCAAGGGGTCAACCAAATGAACTATTTTAAAACAGGACAAACTGGAGCATGCACAGCGATGATGTATTACCACATTTGTCAAGCAAACTGGAGATACAAATGCCACCAGAATGCATAGTTATTATGCACCCACACACACAGCTGCTTCAACAGCTGCATGAGCCAAGGTACCAATAAAATGTTAGAAAATGTTATTCCATAATCTAAAAAGTTATTTGAACTGTGTTCAAATTAACACAAGATTGGTGTTTCGCCATTTAAAGCAGTCATGCTTCATTTTGTATGAAATGCTCTTGGAGTAAAAATATATTTAATGTCAGAAACCAAATAAACCATCAACTGTTTAAGTAAATCATTCTAATATAGAACATTGGCCTTTAAAACAAAATTGACTTGTTTGTTTGTGAAAAATGTTGCCACCTTTGTCTCACGTAACAATAGAGTGAAACATCAACTGCAATGAACGACTTAAATCAATGAGCATAATAATTTTCACAGCATGCAACACGGAGGTTTATTATGCAATACAAGTCGAAAAAAGATTATGTTTGTTCTAAATCACTTTAAAAATACTTGAAAATCCAACACCTTTATTTTAGCACACTGCAGATAAATTTGTAGTAGAATCTCATTATAGGCAACTGGCTGGGATGGAGGCTAAAATACTTATAGTCAGATGTGTACATAACCGAAATGGCTATGTTTCACTTAAACCCAGTGCAAAAGAAATTAGGTGTTAAAAATACTAAATCTACTGTGGAGAAGTATTTACATAATTCCATACTTTTATGTCACCACTAAGCCTGCCTGTCATATTACTTCACTCAAGCTCTTTTATAGAATTAAATAATAAGTGTGAGGTTTATGTTTGTGTATCAAGTACAATTACATTTCACTACATACCGTACACTAAATTATTTGCATGCAAAGAAAATGCCACGTTACGTGAATGTGAGACATTGCTTTAACCAAGAGCCTTAGAGTCCAGTGAACTTAATGCCCAGTTATACTGCACATTTGGCGTTGGGGTAGAATGATCATTTGAAATGCTCTGATGTGCAGAATGCAGCAGTCATTCTGTACATCAATGTGTTGCAAACCATCATTTCGCATTAACATGTGCAGTAAAAGTAATTTCACCAAATTTTACACCAAGCAGCAAGAGCACTTGGAAGAGTTGGTTTGCAAACTGGGGTTTATTGTTATTCAGTTTCTAATCACTGTATGAACCAATTACTTGATGAACGTGTTTTCAATTGTTCAAAAGTATCACTAGCAGAAATGATCCACGAATTAATTGAACACTGGCCTCTCGAAAGCACAAACACATTAGGCCACTCAACAGTGATAGGAATGGACGCTCGCTCTCAGTTAGCATTGCGTGTTGAAAAGCTGATTGATGTTGGAGAAAAACTTTACCCATTTTCAGAGACCGTTGCCAGCCATCTATGGGCAAGGTTGTTTACAAGTCATAGCAGCCTCTCCGCTCAGAAAAGTTTTCATCAAATTCAGCTTCTATGTAGTGTAAGAAATATATATTTTTAAAGGCACGCGAGGGTCGAATGAATTATGACCGATTTTCCTTTAACGCTTGAATGGGCCAGAAATTCAATTCACCTCGCGCCTGCGTGTCGGCGGACGCATCCCTCCCGGGAGAGGGCGCGCGGTCCACTCCAGCAATCTATCTCTGGGATTGTCCATGTGTGGGTGGGAGGCGTGGAAGGCTCGGTTTGGTTTGGCTACTCTTAAGCAAAGGGGTGACGGGTTTCCCCAGGTGGCAGACACCCACCCGGCTGACCGAACAGTATAGAGAGGCGTGTGATGATGGTGCGTTATCCTCTGGTGGGACCAACAGCCTTTTTTTTTCACACAATATCACATCTACACAACCCCTGTGTGGAGTTTTCTTGAGCATCGCGTTAGTTACGACTGAGTTGGGATTAATCCTCGGTGTGTGTGTGTGTGTTGTGTGTGTGTTGTGTGTGAGTGGTGTGTGTGTGTTGTGTGTGGTGTGTGTGGTGTGTTGTGTGTGTGTGGTGTGTGTGTGTGTGTGTTGTATGTGTGTGTTGTATGTGTGTGTGTGTTGTATGTGTGTGGTGTGTGTGTTGTGTGCAGTAAAACCCCGACAGATCCAAAGTGACTGAACATCGCGGTTTGGATGAGTTCCCGATGTGTTTCGGAAGGGCTCTGCCCCCCTCACCCCTCCCCCCCCCCCCACCCCTCCCCTCCCCCCTCCCCTACCCCTCCCCCCCCCCCTGTGCTGCCGGTGGTCTCACCTTCTCTCTTCCCGGGTCACGTAGGAGCTGCGGAAGAAGCCGAGCAGCTCGTCCGCGATATTGGCGTTGAACTTGATCCTCAGAGTGTAAAGTTTCTGCGCCTCCAACTCCCTCCTCAGCACAATGACCAGGACCTGGTTCTGCGGGTACAAGAAGTACTTACTGACCCCGAGGGCCCCGGGGAGGGCCCCGGGGAGGGACCCGGGGAGGGACCCGGGGGACACCCGCACCCCCTGGACCACCAGTCTGTCGGCGTGAAGGACCATATAGCGAGTGGAGTTCAGGCACTCGATCTGGACGCTGACCTCCCCCGAGAAGGTGAAGTTGTCCATGGAAGCGGTGGTCCTCAGGTCGTAGTGACGGGGCTTCAGAGCGGTGGGCAATCTCAGACGGGTCCAGGGTGGCCCTCCAGCCTCACCCGGGCTCTCCCTCTCCCTCTCCCTGGTCAGGTTGGACCTGCCCGGGGGGTGCCCGGTGCCGGTCCCGGTGCCGGTGCCGGTGCCGTTACCCGCCCTGTTGCTGCTCTCGTGGGGGCACTCCTCGAATTTCACGCTCAGGAGGACGGCGATGATGGTGACCACGATGAGGGTCAGGATCGAGACGGCGAAACCCAGGACCAGCCTCTTGTGGACGGTGATGTTCCTCTCGGTGGTCCTGGGTCTGACCACCACCGAGTCGGCCCACTGGTCGGACAGCCCCCGCCCGTTCCTCATGGAGTCCTCCTCGATCACCATCTGCGTGAAAGACATGTTCTTGTCGCGCTGGTCTTCCAAAGCCATTTACACCCCTCACTCCCACTCTACACTCTACACTCCACTCCACTCCACACTGCGGGTCTTCACGAGGGCGCAGCTCCAGCGGAGGGATAGGAGAGAGAGGGAGGGAGGGAGGGAGGGATGGAGTGTGTGTGTGTGTGTGGGGGGGGGGGGGGTGTTGGGGGGTGGGTATGCACTTCTTTGACGGCAACGGGGAGGATGGAAACAAACCGATTTGCTGTCAATGAAAGCTCTTCAAAGAGGGAAAAAAAAATCTCAGCCAACATTAACCCTCCACACCCCCCACAGCGCGAAGCCATCAGGTTCGAGGCGCTGTTCCCCAGACGAACACTCACTCACACTCACTCACTCACACTCACACTCACTCACTCACTCACACTCACACACACACACTCACACACACACTCACTCACTCACACACACACACACACACACTCACACACACACTCACACTCACTCACTCACACTCACACACACACTCACACACACACTCACTCACTCACACACACACACACACACACTCACACACACTCACTCACACACTCACACACACACTCACTCACACAGACACACTCACACTCTCACACACTCACTCACACACTCACTCTCTCGCTCTCTCCACTTGTCACTTCCACTCACTCACTCACTCTCACTCCCATTGGCTGACAACACCTTTTTTTCCCCCCAAGTCCATGTTTTAAAGGCTTTATATATATATACATTTACGTTTATACAAATATTTTTTTGGGGGAGGAGGAGAGATTAAAAAAAGGAATAGTTTTTGTTATCCACCCCCCAAAAAAACACTATATATATTTTATATGTATATATGTATATATATCCCTCGTTCCCAACGTGGTTTTGCTCCCGATCGCGTTTGGATTGAATTTCAGCACTACAGTGGGTTTGGCGTCTTTCATTGAACGGACCAAGTTCCGACACTAAACGATCTCTGTTCCAGATCCCGTGTTATCTCTCGACCCACCCACACCCACACCGCCCCACCCACACCCACACCGCCCCACCCACACAGCCCCACCCACACCCACAGCCCCACCCACACCCACACCGCCCCACCCACACCCACACCGCCCCACCCACAGCCCCACCCACACCCACAGCCCCACCCACACCCACACCGCCCCACCCACACCCACACCGCCCCACCCACACCCACACCGCCCCACCCACACCCACAGCCCCACCCACACCCACACCGCCCCACCCACACCCACACCGCCCCACCCACACCCACACCGCCCCACCCACACCCACACCGCCCCACCCACACCGCCCCACCCACACCCACACCCACCCTCTACCCCCACCCACACCCACACGCCCCACCCACACCCACACCGCCCCACCCACACCCACACCGCCCCACCCACACCGCCCCACCCACACCGCCCCACCCACACCCACACCGCCCCACCCACACCCACACCGCCCCACCCACACCCACACAGCCCCACCCACACCCACCCTCTACCCCCACCCCCACCCACCCTCTACCCCACCCACCCTCTACCCCCACCCACCCACCCTCTACCCCCACCCACACCCACCCTCTACCCCACCCACACCCACACAACCCCACCACACCCACCCTCTACCCCCACCCACACCCACACTCTACCCCCACCCACACCCACCCTCTACCCCCACCACACCCACCCTCTACCCCACCCACACCCACCCTCTACCCCCACCCACACCCACCCTCAACCCCCACCCACACCCACCCTCAACCCACACCCACCCTCTACCCCACCCACACCGCCCCACCCACACCCACCCTCTACCCACACCCACACCCACACAGCCCCACCCACACCCACCCTCTACCCACACCCACCCTCTACCCCCACCCACACCCACGCAGCCCCACCCACACCCACCCTCTACCCACACCCACCCTCTACCCCCACCCACACAGCCCCACTCACACCCACCCTCTAACCACACCCACCCCCCCCTCTACCCCCACCCACACCACACAGCCCCACCCACACCCACCCTCTACCCACCCCCACACACCCCCACCCACACCCTCTACCCCCACCCACACACTCTACCCCCACCCACACCCACCCATCTACCCCCACCTACACCCACCCATCTACCCACACCCACCCATCTACCCCCACCCACACCCACCCATCTACCCACACCCACTCACCCACACCCATCTACCTCCACCCACACCCACCCATCTACCCCCACCCACACCCACCCATCTACCCCCACCCACACATCTACCCACACCCACCCATCTACCCCCACCTACACCCACCCATCTACCCCGCCATCGCTCCCCACCTTCGCCCAGGAGTGCTGCAGCCGGTTAGCAATCAGCCAGACTGTGGTAACAGGGTGAGGGGGGGGGGGGGGATGAAGGAGCACAGCTCAATCAGGTTTGGCCACAGGTTGCTGCAATAACCGTATTATTATTATTTATTATTAATATTGAGTTGAACTCAGAACAGGGATCTGCGATGCAAACGCAAGGGAAGGCACAGACTTCATTTAAGCCTTGAGCACCATTGACCTGCAATTTATTTGGGGGGGGGGGTGTGGAGACAGACCCCAGAGCCTGTGCTCTCTCTCTCTCTTAAATAGCAACGATCTCTCTCACGGATCTCACATGAAAATGAGCGACTCAGATAATAATAATAATAATTCTTGCATTGCAAACTGCGGCGACACCAGTAATTGACCCCCATCTGCTGGTGTGGCCCCACAGAGAGCAGCGACACGGGAGCATCACAGGCCACTCTCGCTGTTTCACTCCCTAACCTTTTCTGATCCTTTCCTGATCCTCCCATCCATTGAGGAGACATTGAAATATTATCAGTGATTTCCAGGACTGTACTACGTCGGAGTGCAACATTTTTTAATTCCAATCTCCACCAGATTAAACAATCTGTAGCTCAGTGGTTAGAGCACTCGCTTTCCAAGCACTCAATTCCAGGCAGGGTGAAACGTTGGGCAAGTTTCCTTACTCCACATGCCTAATAATAATCCCTCAAAAACCCAAAACAATAATAAATTGGTCATTTTCAATCCACGACAGTTTGTGGGACATTGCTGTGCGCAATTGGCTGCCGCGTTCGCCCACAAATATACAGTCAATTCACTTTACAGTGTGTTCTGTGAAGCGCTTTGGGACGTCCTCCCGACGTGAAAAGCGCTATATCAAATGCAAGGATTATTATTATTATTATCAATCTCTTCAAGTTCATCTGCGCTTCACAACAGGCACTCTGTCACCTGCCTGCTGTAGGAATACAACTGTTCAGAATCAGTACAGGCTCATTGTATTGTATTAGACTTGAAAACAAATGTTGATAGAGAATTATTTCTCACAATTTAAATATGTATTGCTCTATTCACTTTCTATTTTGATGAACATATCCAGGGATTTAGGTAGAATTGGTTCTCTACAAAAGGAAACCTGCATAAAGTGAATTTTATGGAAGTCTACCTATGCCCAATTAAGCCTGCCTCTGGAGTAAACTTTTATTTGTTAAACAACACAAGAGTATTTTACTATTTTACTAATGCATATACACGATATAGTCTTTAAAACTAATTTGATGAAAAGAAACCCAAATCAACAGTATAATGATGTGAAGTTTGATGTATACTTTCCGCTACACTTCATGTTAAATCAGAGATAACAAACAAACACACTTCATTTCAGGATTCTATGCACTCAGTACTGAAACTGGATGTCTGCTTTTCTAATGTTATTAATAGCTTGACATCTGATTGAATCTTTAATAATATTCGTAATGATCCATTCAAAGTTCCTAGACTGTCCATAGAACATTTAACAGCCCAAAGGGAAATGAGCCCAATGTCATTTGCACAAACAACTTTACTGACTTCAGGCAGGAAGTTCAGTATGACCACAATCTCCAACAAATTCCAATTTCAGCAAAGATTTGTAAAAATAAGATCAAGACTTATATCGTATGTTCAATCAGTTTCCTTCAGCTGGAAGCTAAAATAATTATTTAGGTAACAGTATGACTTCTCTGGGTTTGGACTTTACTTTTCACATCAACATTGAAGTAATGATAAAAACTTGACTGTGAAGATCTGTTTAGCTCTCTTTGTTAAGAGAGGTGCAATAGCAACAATGCAATGTCAGCCAAACAAATGGAAGGTTTGACAACCAACCATGATAATATTATATTCAGTGCTAGAGTCTAATTCAGTATTTGTTGTCAGAATTCTCCCTATCGTTAACATTATAAGTAATCATGAATGCTGCAATGAGAAGACATTTTTGCCATGTTAAATTAATTAGAGGAATGAATGCAATCTAATCCTTGTATTCCGTTGGTGCACTATTGGCATTTTGACCCTGGAGGAAGGAAATAAATGGCCATATAACCTGCAAATAGATAAACAGCACCATTCACTCCTCTGTCCCAAGCAATTTAAAAAGTTTCAAAAACAGCTTACAAATTTTGGCATCCATCTATGCTGAACATGATGAATTGACTTTTTTCATCTGCTTCTTTTACATGATCTTTTGGGTGGGGGAAATATGTAATGGCCCAACTTTCAGCCTTGGTTCACACAGTTCTACATTATTACTACAATTAGCATAAAGAGGAATTTTGCACTCTATCTTGTTGCATCCTTGTTAAATGGCATCAGGGAGAAAGATGCAACATTTTGTAGATGGAAACATAGATGGCAAAGGGGATTATTAACATCAGGTCACAGCTGAAGTTAGCAAAATGGGACCTGAAGGGAATTGTACTGAGAAAATACATGGGCGAAGAATTTGGTGTAGTGGATTTGGTGAATGTTTGGAAATTGGGAAGTTTTCATTCACAATTTATTTTGTATACAATTGTACTGTATGTTTCAGCACAAGTTTAAAATTACTGCAAATCTTTCCAGCTCTGTTATAATAATAATAATCCTTGCATTTAATATAGCGCTTTTCACGTCTTCTAGACGTCCCAAAGCACTTCACAGAATATACTGTAAAGTGAAGTGACTGGATATTTTCTGGACGAAACGCAGCAGC